GGACTTCCATTCTAAGAGGCTTCCATTCTAGTCTGAGGTGTGACAGAAAATAAAAACGCATGAGAATGTTAGATAGTGGGGAAAAAAGCAGAGTGAGGTGATAAAGTATACGGGGTGAACTCCATCTAAGGAAAGCCTTCCTGAGAAGGTGACATTTGAGTTAAGAAGGAGCAAGGCACGTGACAAGCCCAAGAAAGAGCAATCCAGGCACAGGGGACAGCCAGGACACAGGTCTTGGGGTAGAAGAGAGCTGGCATGGTAGAGAAATAGAAAAGCCAGTATGGCAGGTGTGTAGTTTTTTAGAGAATGTACAAGAGGATGAGAAGGCAGGAGCCAGATCGAAGACCAGGGGTCCTCAACTCCCAGGGCCGTGGACTGGTACCAGTCCATGGCCTGTTAGGAACAGGGCAGCACAGCAGGAGGTGAGCGGCAGATAAGCAAACGAAGCTTCATCTGTATTGGCAGCCGCTCCTCAGCACTAGCATCACCGCTCATCAGGCATTAGATTCTCAAAGGAGCACAGGTCCCTGGTGCCAAAAAGGTTGAGGGCCACTGCTATAGACCATATTTAGGAGTTTGTATTTTATTCCAAGTATGATGGGAAACCTATTGAGGGTTTTAAGCAAGGAAATGACATGATGTTAAGGTCTGTCTGGTCTTAAAGATCATTTAGGCTGTTGGTTAGAGAACTGATCATAAGAGCGAGAATGGCGAACAATTAAGAGGTTGTCACACCAGTCCAGATGTGAGATGGCATCCACTAAAATAGTAGCAGTGAAGACTTAGAGTAGGATGATTCCATCCTGGTATTTAAAGCACCAACTGGTGCTAACATATGAATGAATGAAAGAATTTTTCCTGGGAGCCAGAAGTGAGAAAAAGGTGCGGTACTTTTCTCTTTCCACCCCCAAACCCTGATACAGGGGTCCCATCAAGGCCTGACAGTGCCCTGCACACAGTAGGTGCTTAGTAAGCCTTGGCTGGGCTGAATTCAAGCCCAATGCGCGTACTAAACCCTTTAGCAGTAGATACAAGCCACCAACCAGGTGACTAGAAAGGTAGGCACCTGCAGGACAGCGGTAGGACTGCCTTCCCGGCACTCGGCCAGGGATAGACCAGAGGCAGATATTGGCGCCCCAGACCTAGGGGCATGTGATTGCCCAGAACTCCACAGCCATGACACCGGACAGGGGCGGCCGCAGCAGGCCCCGCCTCCATCCTGGGCACGGCCTGGTCACTCAGACGAGACCCCGGGGCAATGCGGCCAGGCTGTCAGTGTGACTACGCCCAGTTTCCCCAGGCCCCACACCCGGCCGTGGGTCCTGAGGGAGTAAGCCCCAGAGACCTGAGCGCAAGGCCCCGCCCATGAACCCGGAGCCCCAGGCCAGGACCCCCGCCTCTCGCCTCAGACTCTAGGGCGACCTGAGACCTCTGGGACACCGCCCCCGATCTCCGCCTACCGGGGCCGCCGCGTCCTCCTCATCCATAGGCCTCTCAGCTCGCTCTCTAGCTCTTCGGCCGCCGCCACCACACACATCCGGGTCCCCGCCCTGCCTACGCTCTCCGTCGCACGCCCCTCACCACCATCCCAACCAATCCGAAATGGCCTAGGATGAGAGGCATCTGCAAGAGCCAATAATAGGGCGAGGCAGGGTCGGGGCGCGCCCCGGTGAACCGGTACCTAGCGTTGGGCGGGGTCTGGTAAACCCGAGTGTCTGGAGGATGGGAGGCGGCGTCGTGGTGCGCGGGAGACATGCTGGGCGGCTTTGGCATTGACAGGGCGGTCAAGGGATGGCTCCTGCCATGAGCGAGGCAATCGGAGAAGAACACTGCGCACCTACAAATACTGCGTTCCTTGAGCGCTCGTTCTGTGCCAGATCTGATGCTAAAAGCTTTGTGGGAATGTCCTTTTAATTTATTCAACAACCTTATGAAATGAATCTTGTTATTATCTCCTTTTTGCAGATGAAGAGCTTGAGGCTAGCCTCCATAGTTTGTACGCTTAATGTAACAGTATGCTTTATATTCTCCCGATCTATACTATTACCATGTGCTTTATATTCTCCCGAACTCCATTTCATGTCACCTTTCGCACATTCTGGAAAGGGAATTCCATTCTAGGAGGAGAGAACTTCAGATGCAAAAAGCGCAGTGGCAAGAAATGTCATGCAGTTCAGGAACAGAGAGGTTTGGTGTGACTTAATGAAAGTTAGACTGGAGTCATAATGTGAAGGAAAGAAGGACACTAATATTTATTGAACCCCTACTGAAGGTTGTTAATCGCCATTCTGAGGAGGACTTCCCCAATTTCCTCCCATCATCGAATTTCTTTTCCAGATAGGAAGGTTTTCCCCCTCTGTGTCTTCATATTATGTCTTTTACATCTCATTTATAGGACTTATTACAATCATACTTTTATGATTAAAGTTACTTCCGTATGTAAATCTGTCATTGCCTGACTGTGAGTTCCTTCAGACCCCGTGATTTATTCTATAATCATAAATAGGTACTCTACAAATGTTGAAGGAAATGGAAACCATCATCATGTGACCGCTTGGCATACTGGAAATAAGACCCTGGATTACATAGTTCTGAAAAGTTACTCTCCCCAACTCGTCTCCAGCTCCTTCTGTTTCCTTTATTTCTTCTCTTCCACTTCCTCTTCCTGAGCTATGAAAATAGCCCGTCTAATGGGTATGTAGTGATATTCCATTGTGGTTTCAATTTGCATTTCTGTAATGACTAATGATATTAAGCATCTTTTCACATGCTTATTTGCCATTCATATATCTTCTTTGGTGACGTGTCTGTTCAAATCACTTGCCCATTTTAAAAAATTGAGTCATTCTGAAAGTTCTTTATATATTCTGGATTCAAATTCTTTATCAGATATATGGTTTACAAATATTTTCTTCTAGTCTGTGGCTTGTCTTCTCATTCTATTAACAGTGTCTTTCAAAGAGCAGAAGTTCTTAATCATGAAAATGTCCAATTTATCAAGTTTTTATTTTAAGAATCATGCTTTTGGTGTTCTATTTAAGAAATCTTTGCCTAACCCAAGGTCACAAAGATGTTACCCTATGTTTTCTTCTGGAAGTTTTATGATTTTAGGTTTTGCATTTAAGTCATAATCCATTAAATTATTTTTATTTTGAAACAATTTTATATCTGCAAAAATAGTACATAGGATTCCATATACCTTTCACCCAATTTCCCCTAATGTTAACATCTTACATAACCATAATACAATCATTGAAACCAGGATATTAACACTGGTACAATACTGTTAAATAATTTCTAGACCTTATTCAAACATCACCAATTATCCCACCAATGCCCTTTTTCTTGTATAGGATCCAAACCAGGATTCCACATTACATCTACTTGTCATGTCTTGTTAGTCTCTTCTGTCTGGGACAGCAGTTCGGCCTTTCCTGAAGAGTATATGCTAGTTATTTTGTACAATTTCCCTCAGTTTCATTCTATCTGGTTTGCTCATTATTAGATTGAGGTTATGCTTTAACAATTTTATTGAGATAAATGATTCATTTTGAGTTAATTCTTGTATATGGTGTGAAATATGGATCAAAGTTCATTTTTTAGTATATAGATATTCAATCGTTCCAGCAGCATTTATTAAAAATACTATCCTTTCTCTACTGAATGGCCTTTACACCTCAGTGAAAATTACTTGAGGAAGTTAAAAAAAAATACTTTTTTTTTTAAAGAAAAGAAAAAACTCAATGTGTGGCTATATTCTTAGACTCTATTCTGTGGCACTGATTTGTCTTTATGTTTTGATTACTGTAGCTTTATAATAAGTCTTAAAATCAGGTAGTATAAGCCCTCTAATTTTGTTCTATTTTAAAGTTGGTTTGAGCTATTCTAGAGCTGATCCTTTTCCACCTGAAAAATCAGCTTGCCAATTTACCAAAAAAAAAAAAAAAAAAAAAAAAACTCAATCTTAATTTTAATTGGGATTACACTGAATCTATTTTATTGATTAATTTTGGGAGAACTGACATTTTAACAACATGAAAGTCTTCCAATCCACAAACATGGTATATCTCTCAATTTATTTTTCTACTTTAATTTATCTCAGCAATGTTCTGTAGTTTTCAGTGTGCAGATCCTTTGTCAGGTTTATCCCTGAACTATTCCGTATTTTGATACAATTGTAAATGTTACTTTATTTCGATTCCCAGTTTTCATTGCTAATATATATAAATACAATCACTTACAAACATATGAAAAGATGCTCAACATCGATAGCTATTAGGGAAATGCAAATCAAAACCACAATGAGATACCATCTCACACCTGTTAGAATAGCTATAATCAACAGGACAAGTAATAACAAATGTTGGAGAGGATGCAGAGAAAAAGGAACCCTCATACACTGCTGGTGGGACTGCAAAT